CAGCACTTTGACATCATTGGTAAGTAGACCCCACTCAGACATGCGATGTCCCAGGACACTTGGTGCCTATCACAGTGGAATATAACAGAACATCACAAGAACGTACAGCAGAACATCCCTTAGCTAACACCGGCCTCTTAATGATAGCTTGCATGCCGGTAGGACCCAAGAAATCGCGCTGCAAAAGTGCTTTTGGTTGAGAAATTTCTTGAAACAATTGTTGAGATGAGGTCTTTGTCAGGCAAAGTAATGGCGCAAAATGCAAGACTATGTCCAGTGCATTGCATACGCGCAATTTTATCAATTGTCAAAATGGCCGCACATACTCCTGTCGGAGCGCTAGCAACTCTGTCCAAAGTGAATTTTGACCATGGCACATCAATCGTGGTGAGGTACTAATGTTTTTATTAGTCTGCCAAGGCAGTGGAATGCATAATTCCATACACCATTTCCATGGTTACCATTTGCTGTTACCATGGAATTTCGTACTATGCCTTGTGCGATCACGTCAAAAATTTGTGGACTCCTTCATTAGCCCCTGAGCAACAGTTTAGGGTCAAGTTTTAGGTCAATGTTAGAACAGAGGCCATGCAGCATGTCTGTGTATGATGGTCCTACCGGTAGGTCCTACCGGTAGGACCGAGGTCTATGCAAGCTATCATTAAACAAGGACAAATCCAGCCTCCATACTTATTCAAGGCATACCCACATGCGCACACGCTCGCATACACATACGTATTATACGTGCACATACATACACCCCCCCCCACCCCCCCCCCCCCCCACACACACACACACGCACGCATGCTTGTACTTGCTCGGTGCCAAAAATGGTCACGTGGGTCTCCCCGGAAGAGGAGAGAGAGACTCAAAAGGAATCTTGGAAAGATGACTCAAGTTGGCTATTGAACCGCCCAACGGCCGACACACACACACACACACACACACACACACGAACACACGCATTTGCACGTGCACACATACACACACACACACACACACACACACACACATAATGCACATACACACACACAACAGAGGACAGCACTAGTATCTTACATTGGTATGGTACATGATATCAGATCTGACAAAGCCGCAGAACGAGTCCAGTAGTGCACAGTATACTCGACGTTCGTGTAGAAGAAGCTGTGCAGAAGATGAACAAAAAGAAAATTTAATAGAATGATAGACTCGGGTGGAGTGCCAAGGATAAATCTATAGAAAAGAAAAAGGACCAAGGAACTACAAGTTACGCTATAATGTCCACTAAAACCACCAGTGACTTGATAATCAGCTCATGCGATAACATTGCATGACACTGACCGACTGTACTGACGTTCTACAACAGTACTGAACAGAACGGTTCTACAGTTCTACAGAATGGTTCTACGACGGTACTGACGTTCTACAACTACAGTCGGTCAGTGTCGTGCAATGTTATCGCATGACCTGATTATCATGTAACTGGTGGTTTTAGTGGACATTATAGCGTACCTTGTAGTTCCTAGGTCATTTTCTTCACAATAGAACAATAGTTTGAAACAACGCACTAATACCAATTCATGCACCGACAATCTTTATACATGCACAAACGCTTTATAATGGTTTTCGTGTTCACAGGATACTTGATACACAGTGTCAGAAAGTGGCACAGCCGCTTCAAATTGTACAATGCAGTTCAACGAAATCCGATCGTGTGGCTCGTGTGCGTCCCTGGTGCTGTGCAGCCCTAGACCTGCGGACACAGGGCAGCGCACTGGTGCAGGGCACACACTTGACTCATGTCAGTACCGGTAATCGGATTTCATTGAGCAGCACTGTGGAAGTGGCTAAACGGCTAAGAGTGCTAGTGCCAAACAAGCAAGTGCTGCAACTACAGCCTTAAGGAAAGGTGTGAATGCAATGCCTCCACCAGATTAGCAGAATATACTGCGTGGAATTCCTTAACCAGCGTATACTTAGCCGGGGCAACAGTGGCGTCTGCACACATTGATCAGCGTATACTTAGTCTGGGTAAAATTAAATAAATGCTGGAGGGTGTTCCCTGTTCTGACCTTGCGTAAGAAGCTTTGCTTGACTTGGTTGAGTTCATTGATACCTTCCTGTACGTTGGACTGCAACTGGAGTGATACGAATCAAGCGTGCACAGACAGAAACACACACACACACGTGCACACACACACACACACACACACACACACACACACACACGTGCAAGCACACACACGCACGCACGCATGTATGCGTGCGCGTGCACATGCAAACAAGAAAGCAAACATTGACGTCCATGCGTACGCACAACATTTGTGAAGTAGTAAAGGCCAAACAATCGCTTGCTTACCGTGAGAACTACTATGTAGGGACATACTCTGCTCTCCCCAACCCCCCCCCCTCTCCATGACGTACATACCCTGCCCCCCCCCCCCCCCTCTCCATGACGTACATACCCTGCCCCCCCCCCCCCCCTCTCCATGACATACATACCCTGCCCCCCCCCCCCCCCTCCATGACGTACATACCCTGCCCCCCCCCCCCCCCATGATGTACATAATAGTGGGATTGCCGATCGCAAAGCATATTTTCAAAATTTCATGAGCTGTTTTTAACATAAAGGAGAGGCAAGAGGCAAAAGAGCAAGGATAATGTGATGAGGAGGGGGAGGTATGGCAAGCTATTAAGACAGGGGTAGCTATGGGGAGCCATTTGTGGGGGTGGGGTGGGGGTGGGGTGGGTGGTGGGGAGCCGGGGTGGGGATAGCTATGGGGAGCCATATTGGGGGATAGCTATGGTTGGGGAGGGGGCTATGGGAGCCATTTAGGGGAAAGATATGGGCAGGAAGCATCATTGCTAACATACCTGGTCTTCACGCGTATCAAAGTCACTCTGTGGCTGTTTGCGTTGCTTCTTGCGATGACGAATAAGTTCATTCTCCGCCTTCTCAACAAACTAGAAACACACACACACACACACACACACACGGGCAGGCAAGGATTGAGGTGAAGTATCATAAGAAGTGGGATAACTCCACTTTTCAAGCAAGGAGACTGATGATTGCAACTGGAGGTCTGGGAACCTGTAATGTACAATGAAAGATGTTTTAGATCTTCTACTTGAAATTTCTATAAAAACACTGCCATGTTGCTGAGAGAGACTCAAAACACACACACACACACACACACACACACACACACACACACACACACACACACACACACACACACACACACACACACACACACACACACACACACACACACACACACACACACACACACACACACACACACACACACACACACACACACACACACACACACAAGTGTACACTGTGGAAATTGGATGTGTTTGGAATGAATACACACTCACCCCAATCTGCATGTCCCTATCCTCCTTGTAGTTCCTCTGCAAAAGCTGCACCAAATGAAGTGGTGAGCCACGCAAAACACAAAGCAAAACAAAACCATGTCTACCGTCCCGATGTGAAGGAAGAAGTACACACACAGCCATGCGGTTCCCATGCACCCGCGCACGCATACAGTCAGTGTTGTTTTCATGTGCAGGAAGCCAAGGGTTGGATTTCACCGTTTGGCCAGCAGTGTACGGAGCTATATAGGGAATATGCCATTACATCATCATTTTGATATGTTTCCTATGGAATGACATCATCGACGAAACACCTGATTGCCACTCCATAGTCAGTGTCCATGCAACAGCCACATAGGATGATGTGACTTGATGTCACTCACACAAACATCTATAGCCCCCCCCCCCCCCCCCCCCAGTACTGTGCGTCAAGACAGTGAGTGACTCACCGGCAATGCTTTGCGCTCACTATCTCTGAGTGACTCCAACGGTAGAATGATGTCATTCATCAGCGACTTCAACTGTGCACAAGTAATGAAAGCACACAAGGTAATATACTAGTGACAGCATAGCTTTGCTTAGAACCATGCATACAGGATCAATTACAGGTACATTGAACACGAAACTTCTGCATGTTATCACTTCTGAGTGGAAGAAGAAACTAGGAAAGGTTTGCTAGACCTTCCGTCTGCATCTCAATTTGTTTTGAACCAACGGTACCGCCTTTCATAGGTACTTGTACCTGTTATAGTTACAGGGGTGTAGCTCGAGCATCTGTGGAGTAGTGACTATGTGTCAGAGCAGGTTCGTGGTGACTATGTGTCAGAGCAGGTTCGTGGAGTGGTGACAATGTGCCGGAGCAGGTTCGTGGTGACTATGTGTCAGAGCAGGTTCGTGGTGTGGTGACAATGTGCCGGAGCAGGTTCGTGGTGTGGTGACAATGTACAAGAGCAGGTTCGTGGTGTGGTGACAAATTGACAATGTGCCAGAGCAGGTTCGTGGTGTGGTGATTATGTGCCACCGGCAACCTCATAGCTGCCATTTCACCTCTTTGACTACTGTAACAGTTCACAAATTTTCGGCGTACTCTTATTTTCGGTGCTTTCGGTGCGTCTGTTTCATACCTAAAATTCCAATACACCGAACAAACACTAACACACATAATCCAATAGGGAACTGTTTCTCTGTACCTAGATGTTCTGTTCACCTAACCTGGCATTTTGCCCTCAAACCGAAAATATTGAGCATTGAAAATTTCTGAAATTAGAGTATGTTACATAGTACATGTAGTGTCTATGATGGTTATTCTCTGATGTGGTTACCAGACTACGCTGACTATACACCAGCCACACACCTGCCTGTACCTATTACATCGGTTTGATGTGATAGCTGTGGCAGTGGAATCGGTTAAGTTCGGGCCCAAAATCACATGCACACACTAACCTGAAGTTACAAGCGTAAGGCAGTGTACAGTCAGACCTCGCTTAACCGCACACATCCGTTTTCCACAACAATATCCGGATAGGCGAGGGACTTGGATAATCGCACATACATACTGTATGTATGCATGGCATATGCTGTAAATCGGTAACCAACGGTTTTCGTCCGGATGGCGAGGAATCCGGATAAAAGAGTACCGGATCATTGAAGCGAGGTCTGACTGTACAAATAAACAGGCACCTACCTTATCAAGTCTGTGCAGCTCAACTTGCCGATACGCCTCGCTCACTTCCTTCAATGCCGTACCTGTGGGCGGTAATCAACACATCAGTGGCAACTAGTCAATCGTTTCAATTCATGATCCCAGTCAATCCTCGGTAGTATAGTGGTAAGTATCTCCGCCTGTCACGCGGAAGACCCGGGTTCGATTCCCGGCCGGGGAGGACATTTCTTTTTCCTAGATTTTTGGCTTTTCTCCGGGTCTTTAATACGTACAGGCATTCTTTTGTCTGCGCAATGTCCGTTCCACATTCTTTCGAGAGACAAAAAAGCAAGCCACAATAGGACATCAGCCAGGTTTTGTCCCATAAGCACTGGATTGGGAAAACCATGGAAATCCAGGCCGTTTGACTCCACTTGCAACAGAACATTCTGCAGTTGGAACTCCAGTTGAGGTACCTTTTTCGAATTTCAAATATAGCCGCAATGCCCCGTGTAAGATAAAATCACCAACTTGAATCACCAAACACGGGACCTCTCCAGAGCCAGACTCGCTCATCCTTTTTTTGAATTGACTGTGGAGCCCGGCGGCAAGTGGACACACCTAATCTCATGTTTGCGTCGTATTTGCAGCAATTGCGCCGGCTTAGTTACAATACAGCAGTAGCAGCAGCGTGACAGACAGACAGAAGCGAAACGTTGGCATACCGATCTGTGAGGACGCACTCCGCAGCTCGCTGGCATTCTGACCAATCAGGTACAGTTGTCCGAAGAACTTCGATGCATCGGTTGTCACGGCTGAGCAGAACAGACACGAATACAAAGTGCTGTGAATATCATGCATATCGCTTTACACTCATATCATACAGGGCTTGCAAATAGTGTAGCGGACCGTGATTGAAATCCAGTCGATTGACCGGGGCCGGTGCCCTCAGCAGGTACAGAACGCTGCGTGCAGTGCACAGAGTCATGTTGATCCGATGCGACTAGCGCGCTGCATGCTGCGCATAATGCATGTTCCGCTTATCATCAGAGCGCTGGCCATGCAGCCGTGGGCCACGGCTGCATGGCCAGTGCCCTGGGGCCGCTAGATGTGCGACCGGATTTCCATGTCCACGACATTAGGTGTACACTCCCAAACATTACATGGACATTCTGTATCTTCTTGCAAGTGTGAATGAGAGATGGGGGGGGGGGGGGGGAGGGGGAGGGGTCCTGGAATGTGGTACAAGCCTTGAAGGGCCAGCAATGTTGCATCTGCTTCACTACTGCCTCCCGGCACCACCGCTGCTGTCAGTCCCGGACAAATGCTGCCACCACCACCTCCAGCCAGTCCGCTGCACGCTGGCATCACTACCTCCAGTCAGTCCTGTGTTGGCGAGGCTACCACCACTATCACCAGACCAGCCACTGGCCTCACTACTTCAGTCTCCAGGGTCGGTGCCACTAGTGACAGCAGACTGTATGTTTTTTTTTACCAATTGCAGTGCCCACCGAGTGTCCATGTACACTCTTCACTGGAGTCTATCAATCGCAAAAGGATTCATCGAAAAGATGACTCAATTGGCTATTGAACCGCCCAATGGCCGCCACCCCCTGAAATCCTCAAACTCTGAGTGGACTTAGAAATGATCCCACGTATAGGCTCATCACACCTCAGTATGAGTGGGTAAGGACAAGGTGCAGAAAGAGGATTGACGGTACCCCCCCCCCCCCCCCCCCCATACACACAGACGGCCACTGCAAGGAGAAGCAGCAAGACTAGTGTAACTCACCAGTCAACGAGCGATGATAGTTTTTAGCAGCCACAGCCAGTAGCTTGATGTTTGGTGACACTGTTTCCAGACTCTGCAGACCAGAGAGCAGCAGCAATGACAACATGCAGCAATACAAGAAACAACAACATCGACGACGGTGGCAGCAGCAGCAACAGCACCACCAACACAGCAGCAACAGCACCATAAACACGGCAATGTAAACATCAGATTGTACACGTGCAGGGGACTGAACTCCATGCACACAGCAGCCATTGCCTGCGGGTAGACCGGTGGATAATGCCGGCAAAAAATTGGCAGAAATTGGTACTTTTCTGGTAGGTTTCATGGATATTTCGTATGTGGATAAAGAAATGGAGCAGAATTCAAGGAAGTACCTGCCATAAGGTTTGTATGATTCTACCAATTTCACTGGTTTTCAAGCAGAATCTGCCAATTTGTTTTAGCATTATCTGCAAGGGCTACCTGTGGGTAGTACTATCTGATGCAGCCTAGCTTGAACATGACATAATGCTATGCTGTATCCACACACACACCAGTGTGCTGTACATGTACATTCCACAGTCAAAGTTACTGTGTTACCACTCCTGTCGCATATGGGATCTGTGGAGCCACAAAGGAAACGAGCACACTCATATCCGAGTCTCTTATCTGGACCTCCAAGTTATGGGCACCTCGGTCTGCTGGGCACCATGTGTGTGAGTTTTTTGTGCTACATGTAGTTATAGCAAGGCATAAACTCGCTTTGGCACAGGGACAGTCATTGCTAACCTGGCATGCTTCTATATAGCTGATCGACCCTCTTCGACTTTCCGTACCATTTGCTCAAATTCCGCAGTGCGGTCAAAGGAGTGATTTTCCGTACAAATGTGGGAAATACAGAAGGTTGGCAGCACTGTGCGTATGTAATTCAGAGATACAGAGATTCCACAATTATGGGCATTCAGGACTATAGCCAGAAGAAAAGTGAAGGGGGGGGGGGGGTCATCGGACCGAAATTGTTGTGAGTTTACCACCATTTTCTGTCGCCATTTGGGCCGACACCAGTAAGCAACCGACCAACTACTATTCCATGTATTTATTCACCGGCCACTGTAATCCGCCGTGAGTATGGTTTTCAGCGGTACTGGATGATGATTATAGGATACAATGACTCATACAATGCTGTTTTTTAATTATAAAAAGGTGGCGCTTGCACTCTGAAGGGTGGCGCGTTCATTTTGAAAGAGGTCAAAACCGGAAGGAGGGCGCAGCGCCCCACTATGTCGCTTTGGCGAGGACCCTGGCATTGTTCGGTCGCGGACCGCCCAGATCAGCGAGACACTATGATTGTACAGGATAGGTCAGGGGTATTCGGTATCCAGTAGCCTTCATATGCTGTTGACAGAATGGAGCAGTTTGTATATTGCAACTCTGAGTTTCACAAAAACGAGGCGGATCGTCAGGTAACCGTTCTCTGTAGACCGGAAGACTGCACCTCAGCGGATTTCAGGCTCACCTATTCCTTGTTGAAGTTCCCAGTGATCATAGGTTCCTAGTTCGAATGTCGCTCATAATCATTATCTTAGCGTCAGTCTCCATCACTCCTATTTTCCTAGATAGGATGCTAGCTATTGGGCTGCACATAGCTACATGTACAGCAAGCCCAGAAACCATTGCGATCCTGCAACGTTTGCAGTTTTCACGGTGGGTGTGGAATCGCAAAAGTAAGTGGACATGCAACGCAAAGCTCTGTCCCCGGGGAAAATTGCGGAAAAAAATCGCAAAAAACGCGGGGAAAAACGCGGCATAATATGGCATAATTTGCGGTGAATTTGCGGTAAATATGCGGTAAATATGCGGTGAATAATATTGATGTGCGGCAATTTTCAGTGAGTATGTAGTGAAATCAATCAGTTACAACTCTCTGGTGTAAGCACTCGTCATATTTGAGTAAAAAGCCGCCACGATGAGACGTTGCTGACCGAACAGTGCACTCTGTGTACGTGTAGTGTAACAAAAAAGTTCAAAAAACGCGGGAAAATTGTGGAAAACGCGGTCTTTTAAAAAATCGCAAAAAACGCGGGAAAAAACGCGGCCGCGGAATTGCAATTTTCCCCGGGGACAGAAAGCTGTAGACTTAACTCGGGTCAATCATCATTACTTTACTCCCATCCCAAACGTTTGCAGGCGCAAAATGGTCTGTCATCGCAATTCGCGAACTGAAACTGGCGCACACGATTCCGGGTTTACAGTAAGTCTTTTTTAGGCTTCACTTGGCTAGCCTTTTTTCCCTTTTTCACAAGACATCCACAGATGTTCATGGTGCAAACGCCAGCAGGTGATCACAGCGAGGTACATAACAAAACTTGAAGTGTGTGTATTTTGAAATAATTTATGTACGGCCGGATTCTGAGGATATCACATTTTACTGATCTCCCAGGCCTGATTCTGTGGATCTAACATTAGTGAAGCACGCGCACCAACTCCCAGCGGGTAATAAATCCGTGAATGGTGATCGCACCGCACACAGCGGGCAGTTAGCCAGCATCGCTAGAATCGTTTCTAACGGTGTGTCGCCACAAATAGAAAACCACCAGGACGATTCATTCGCGACGGCGCCATTGTACACACTCACACCATTTACCATGCTCATTGTTCGGAACAAGAAACAATCACTGAATGTGGGTCTTACCCCGAACAGGTGCTCCAGGAGCATACCAGAGGAGTCGGATTGTGGCGAACTCATTCTTCAATCGTTGCTCGCCTCCCCTACAATTTTGTAGTTCTGTATTCTCCACCAGCGAAGCCGTCGCTAGCGAACAATCATGCAGATAGCGCGTCGTTCTCTGCTGCCCCGAACTCCGCCCATCAACGAGCAGCGTAGAGCTTCGTGCGACCTCAGCACCTCTTCATGTCCAACCGCCAAGTGCGGTGAAGCACGAAACCAACAGTTCAGATTGCAAGAGGAACGAAGGCCCGGACAACGAAAGAGCGCCAACAACAACAACAAAATTAATGCTTGCACGGTTATTTCTGCAACGAGGTCTGCCGTTGGTTACCTGGATCCACTGATCAGTCATGGTCGCCATCAGCAGTGACAGGCTGCCTTGACTGGCTGATTCAGTGATAGGGTACAACACCCGCTCTGCACGTTATGAGCAGGAGCAGGTAAATTTCCTACGAGCTCCATTACATCGGGCCAAGATCTTCCCAAGTATTAGTTGAGACTTCACAGAGCAGTTCTGGCAGGAGAAGAAAGTCTATAGACTGTCAAAATGACATGCGTAGCATATTGCGCATGTGATGCAGCTGAACCAACGCCCTGGATGACATGGGCTCGGCCTGTAAACCTGCCGCTCCACGAAACCAGAACGTCGAAAGAAACCCGTGTCCTGTCAGCAGTCTCCTGAAGACTTGATACAGCCAGCCGAGGCTAGAGCAGAGCCAGTGGTCATGCCTTCGACTTCGTGATCATGGCTTTTCCGGTAGGTCTACAGACACTACAGACTACTACTACTAGTACTTAGTAGGTAGTAGTAGATCTACGTGGCATGTGGGCTGGGGCAGCAGATCCAAATCACAGCCGCATTCGATCATCTTTCTTGACGTCCTTGTCTTTGGCCCTTTGCATGGCTTTGCCTTTGCCGGGGCTTTGGGCAACTGTCATTACTACATAATCATTAGCTTCGGCCGGTTGGGACTGTGGCCCAGTGTGGGAGTAGGAATGATGAGCTACATGTAGTGGGGCATCAGTCCGTGTCAGCTGTGTGGCCAGCAAGGATGTGTGAACAATCACGAGCCGCAGCCGAAGATCTGCCATTTCTAATACATTCAGTTTTAGAATTATTGATTTTGCACAGCGGGCGGTGACAGGAGGCAAACCATGGTGTGCCATTGGGGACCGGTTGGACTGGAGAAGGCGAAGGCAAAATGAGCCGCTGTCGCATTTGGGTGTAGCAGCGTCGCCGTCAGTCCGTAAGAGTCAAAAGAGAGCAATACCACTACTCGTACTGTGGTAAGAGTACGTAGTGGTATTGCTAAACTGTTATGACTGTACGGGCTAGCTAGTGAAATAATTCGACCTTAGCCAGGCTTAGGGGGTGAAGTAGCGCTGCTATGTGTGTGCAGACTAATAATAGTTCATGTGGCGCCCAGCGCTATTGTTGAAGCGGACTGCCAGCACCGTCAAGAGGGCGATTACCTGGCGCGCGTACAAACAGTTCGTACAGGTGGTCATGGATTGGAGCCGAGACTTTTTTTTAAATCACGCAGTCTTTGGCACCTCTTCTACTCGCTTGCTTTTTATTTCCCTTTTCACCATGCTTAGTTAGATAGCCATGTTCACACTAGCTTATAATGATTATGTTGAAGTGCTCACACGCTCACACTTCATCTCTATTCACACTTCATAATGATAATTATCACCCCTATTCTCATACAGTGCCTATTAGTATTAGTCTTAGACGTTACGTAATATTATCTTGTTCCCACCATCACTATTGTATCTAGTGATTATTGTTGAGACAACTAACGGTTGAGAGAGCCTCATCAATCGGACCTTCTCTGATTGGTCTGCTATCACAACGTTCAATGTCTGCCTCTCTGATAGTATTCATTGATGTGATAAAACATGTTGAAGGAGAGGATCTAGGAAAGTCGGATCGTGAGACCCCCGGCGCACCTGAGAATGATATCCGATAGTTGGATGTTGAACTAATTATTTGAACTGCGGTAGTGCAAGGGTAGACTCTAGTCTAGGCGTGTCAACGATGTTGGAGTGCTGGAAGACAATGTCGAGCCAGGTGACATGCCGTCTACGGCAACACCAGAACGCTGTCACTAGCTGATCGATCACCGGGCATGATGACCTAGGCCAGCGGTAAGGTAACGTTATTCACCCGTCCTACTAGTAGCTACCCGCAGTTAGCAGGAAATTGCCAGAATTTGGCATTTTTCTGGTATGTTTCACGTGTGTTTGGTACAATGTTCATGGATGTAAATAAAGAACTAGAGCAGGATTCCAGGAAGTGCCTGTCATAACTTGGGTATGTATGGTTCTGCCAATTATGTCAATGGTTTCAGTTGAGCCGGAATCTGCCAAATTTTCGATCGTTTTATCCGCCAAGGGGCAACCCGTAGTTCCCATGCATATTTCCAGTATCTTGCGGGAGGCATCCCCAGCGTAGGCCTTGGCAGATTGTGTACTCGGAGAATTGACCGATTCTGCCTGAAAAGCAGTGCCGAAATTGCCGGAACCCGGCGAGGAAGCTTTTGGTGGCTGATGCCTCGAATTATGCTCCTCTTCCTTGTTCAAATAGCAGACGTGACATGCTTGAAACCTACCAGAAAAAGTACCAAATTCGTCCGGTGTTACCACCAAGGCCGCTACCCGTAGGAAAACATTTCATGGTTTGCATGCATGAGACCCAGTCACTGACTGAGTTTTCCGTATCCGTAGGAACGCGACCACCCTCAGTCAAGGATCAATGCTCAGATGCAGCTCCTAAAACAGTGCGAGGTGAGTAGATCAGACCCACCACAAAGTGGTCAGAGACCGGGAATGATGATCGGAGAATCCCATTCGCTCGCCTGCATCCATGTTTCCTTTGTACCAGGCAATGGGTTCTCGGTGCCGGTGGAGAAAGAACCCTGGGCAGCTAGTCAGCCGTTTCCATTTGCAGACCAAAGGAACTGTAATTGTGTACATGTACATGGTTTTTTTTTGGTTTTTTTAAGCCTCTTATACCAGTATACGGGCAATCACAGAACATGATTTCACTGGCCTGACCGCGGCAACAACTGCAAAGCAAAACAAAACAAAAAATGTAAATAAAAAGAAAATGAAACTTTACAATCTGCACACAATGACAACTCCATTTTTAAGATAGTCTCTGTTGATCATGTACATGTATGATGTTATTGTACATTATAGCCCGAAGCGTGCAGACTCGCAGTACTTACACAACCATCCCATACCGCTGATCCAGATCATAAAAGCAGGAGCCCTACACATGTACATATATGTAGGGCTCCCTAGGCCCTGGGGAAAATGCTGTGTGTGCCCCCTGTCCCCCGCAGGACATGCACCCCCTCCCCCCCCCCCTGGACTAACCAACCCACATGTCACAGTATCGCACCTAGAGGCCAAGGATGCGTTTGGTTGGTACGATCTAGAACAGGATCGAACAGCTGGTGCACATGGAGCAGCCTCATGCCAACCAAACGGTACTCCGGAAACAGAGCACATTTTTGTGAACAAATGTGCCAAACTTGGTGCATTCTTCATAATGTGTATGGGTCACCATGGTCACTTTGTATGGTACAACGAGCCCAACCCAAAAGCGTATGCATGTGATCATTTGGGACCAAAATCGATGTTCCCGCTAGGCTTCACTGTGAAAAAGTGAAACTGCTCGGTCTGCTCCGGCCTCGAGGCCGGAGCAAGCAGAACATGTTCTGGCCGACCCAGAACAGGTGCAGTCCCAACCAAACGCGCTGTTCTGGTGAATCCTGTTCGTACCAACCAAACGCGCCCCAAGACATTTTTGCTGAAAAAGGTCGATTCGCAAAATTATGTTGATTTTCAATGTACGTGATGACATGCGATTGCTGGCTATGTTAGGCCAAGTAAAAAAAAAAGCTAGATGATCGTCCCCGTCCGCCCCAGTTTTTGTCAGCGCCCCAAGAAATATTTTATTTTTTAAATCGTGAGTTTTTGCCGAAATCGTTGGTTTTTTACCGATCGCGGATGCAGGAAACATGTGCACGCTTTGTTTAATACTTTCTTTACTATATGGACCACATACTACTAGTATATCACAACGTCAGTATCGATCTGCTGAAGAAAGAAAAAGAAAAAAAGAAAAAAAAAGAAAAAAAGAGAAAAAAAACCTTGATGTTGTTGTGTACACTGTGTGCATGAGAGGGTAAAAAGTAAAAAAATAAAAATAAAATCCTCCCGCCCTCCCCGATTTTTCCAAAAAAAAGGACGATCATCTAGTAATTTTTTTTACTCGGCCTTACAGTTTCGATCATACTTTTTTTGCCTGGGACCCTGTTGGTCCCACAGCCAGTGAGTGCGTTCGATTATGCACGCGAATCAATTCACGAATCGATTCATGAATCGATTCGCGCTATTCACATCACCCCATGTGAATAGGGTGAATGGATTCCGAATCATCGCGATTCCAGGGCTCATGGCATGAAAATCGAACGACTTGAATGCATGCGAATGGATTCATGAATCGATTCAACTGCATAATCGAACGCAGCCAGTATTCCATTCTACTAACGGGTACATCATAATGAAGATTAGCCGATATAATGAAGACTGGCGTGTCATGCACATTACATGTAATCATCCGGTATCCTCTAAGATACAGTCACTTGCATTCCTTCCAAATTGTCTCAGTGTTGCTGATATTAAGGGGGGAATGACCCTTCGCGCACGCCATACTGGACCGTACATGTCCAAACGACCACAACTTCTGTTTCCTTCAATATTTCTTGAAGAAATTTTCACCATGTCTTGATGGAATAACATACAACAGATCAATGGCACTCTGAATGAAAATAAACTAAAGAAAGTTGGAAGATTTGACAACAAAAGGATAATTATCGCACAACGGACAAAAGCTAAACGGTGCGCAATTTTATCAGAATGTAGTTCATCAGAATCATCTCTTTCAGCCATAGATATTTAGATTACAGGTACACGCAGTGCGTTTGCCTAATATCACACAGTCCTAAACATCAGTGGCAGTGGTACAGCTCTCACATGCTGCACTACCGCACATGCGCAGTTTCCTCATGGATGGAATGGGCAGAATATGCACACAGGATTGAAGAAATCTCCTGCCCATAGGCAAACGCACAAGCTGACATCACACAGATTTCAAAAATGTATACTTTTGCATGTCCATTCTGTACAAGTGAGCCAGGAAACTGCGCGGAGTGTCAACAAACCACTAAAAATGGCGAAAATTCAGGGTATATTTAGGTCTATATTCAGGGTATGTTCAGCACTTTTCATACAGCACCATCACGATGCAGGCAGATAGCTGCACTAAAACTTGCCCGGTCCATAAGTATCTCCTTCCTCTTCAATAGTGGTCTCCTCCCAGCCCTTCTTTCGCCTTCTTCTCTTCTTTCTCTTCTCCTTCTCTTCTGCTGAACCTTTGCGATCGGCTTTGCTGATGCGGGTGAAATCCTCATCTTGGCATGCTTTGTGGGTCAGCACGCCAGGTACACAGTCTGCTTCCAGAAGCACACTCTCCACAGCCAGTGCACCATCATTGAAGTGGGCAACTGCAAGGCTGGCAGCGAACCGGACAACATCAGCGCCACAGAAGCTTTCCTTCTGGCACATACCCCAGATGACGCCGTTGAAGCTTTCATTCGCATTCTGCGTGGCTCCGAGGAGGCATCTCTCGAGAAGCTTGCGCTCTGTCAAGCGGAGATACAGTGGCTTGACGACGTCAAACACGGCCTTGGGGAGAATGTGGCGATGGGTGTACTCATCCCTGACTCCAGCCTGCACCAACTGCCACTTGCACCAACTGTCAGGACCGGTCGGGCAAAACTGGTGCTGGGGATTGTCGTCTGACGAACACCGGTGCATAAGGCCACTCCAGATAGCCCGGGCCATGCCTTGGATGTCTTGGCTGTGCTCCCTCACTGCCCATCCATAGTACGTCTGGAGAGTGTCAATGGCTTTGTCGGTGAGCCGGCCTTTCCCAGACAACGCCTTGCCGTCTGACAATTTCGTACCCTTCATCGTCTTCTTCAGCTCCCGCAAGCCCGTGCCGATGCGTTTCTGTACATGTCCAATGCACTCCTCCTTTTCAATGGCTACACCATTGTACGGGTCAGCTTCAACGACAGAATTGAATGCCTTACTGTCGCCATCTCCGATGTACGTTGTATACCGGAGACCACGATCAGCAACAGAGCGACTCCATATGATGACAGCTGCCTCGCTCTCCATGGCTGGTGCAGATCGCGCTGTATTCACTCCACAGGTGTGGGTACCTTTCCAGGCAGTGAAATCAGCTGCACTAATTCTCCCGGACTCCTTCCGGTCGTTCCACACAACACATTCCTGGCAGTACTTGCTGCTCACGTGTATGTCCAGTACACGGCCTGTTCTCCACGATATACAGGCAAAGACACCGTAGAGAGACGTATAGCCGCGCCTCATCCAGGTGCCATCGCAAGTTACCGCCACGGTGTCGCAACCATTCAGCACCTTCACCTCATCAGCAGCATTGACCATGCTCTTATGAGCCACAGTGGCTGCAGCGATCACGAGTGCTTCCTGGTGACGGGTGTAGGCATGTGTGTTCACAGGGCTGGGCATGTCCATGGTTCCGCAGAACTTATTCAGAGCGGCACGTCCCTTGCCAATTCTCCGCATGGCTAACACTGATCGCCGGTTGACGTCAAAGAACCGCTTCTCTTTCAGGCATAGGTTAAATCTCCAACTGTGACTGCATAAGACATTGTCGCACTGCACGTGCACCACCGATGCGAGGCCAACAGCGCAGCAGTCAACAATATTTATTTTTCCAGATTTGCACTCGCTACACACAGTGGCCACGTCCAGAAGCTCCTGAAGACATTTCAGGTACACAATTCTGTTGCTCCGCAAGCAATCCTCTTCTATCTCTTCTCCAGATCCCTCAGACGCCTCAGTATCGTCGTCCTCAGAACTGTCTGGGTTCGAGTTCACATCTGAGCCGTCGCTGCTGTCAAAGCTTTCATCAGCTAAATAGGCCGGCTTCCTGCTCAACTTTCGCGTGGACGCGCTCTTCTCAGTCACTTCAACATCACTGGCGACCTCAGGAACCTCAACGACATCGTCGACTTCAGCAGCAGCTGGCTTTGGACCAAAATATTTCCTTTTCTGTCGTCTAGAACGTCCACTCGAGCTCGTTCTTCGGTTCCCCATTGTTCAAATTTCAAATAATAATTATTATTTTTTGTTCTCAAGGCAGGAAGCTGTTCAGCGCTTCTCCTTGTACGCCATGGTATCCAGTAGCAACGATTTCAAGTCAAAAACTCGCTAGTAGTACGCGGTTTCAGTGAAAATCACCGACTGCATGGAGTGCAAAATTGTACAAATTTTCGTTCCGTGCGTACTCATTTTCATTTGAATTGTTGAATTTGAAACGGTCGTAACTTTGGAACCAATAGTCCGTTTCACCAAAAATTTTGTTTCTACACCCTATAGGGTCCGCTGGCCTAGTTGGATACCCAAAACAGCCAGAATTGAAACTTTCAATTTTTGAGTATCTGAAGGGTCATTCCCCCCTTAATTAACATTCTGAACCAGTTGATCAGTTGATGCAGTTTTTTTTTCAGAAAGGGCACAGAATTATCTCAGGTCTGGCAAGGAAAGAAAACCGGGGAACTCACTAGCCTAGGAGAATGTAAACAATACTAAACATTGATGTGCTCTTGCTACCAAGGTGAAGAGTGTTCATGAAGTGCTCATGATCTCGTATTAAAGAAAATAATACTGTTTCAAGGCGAATCAATACTGACTGGTGACCGTCACCTGAACAGAAGTCTGTGAACAAACAAATGCTTGACCCTTGTGGCGAGGTCACATGACAACATTTGTATTGTCCTACTCCCTGATTGGAATGCCATTTGACTGTGTCTTTGTGTTCTGTGTGTGGAGTGTAGATCATACAAGCAAAGGTCTGTGCGTGTGTACTGATTTTGTACTCACCCTGTGCTTCATATCAGCGGTGTTTTTCTGCAACTCTGGCTTCGTGGAATCTACGATGGTAGGCTGCTACGGTGTAGACATGTATAGGCCTCCGCGGAATATGCTCGTATTTTTACCGATAATTCCTTTGAGCATTGCTCAAAATTACGTCCGATAATTCCCGTAATTCCACCAATAATTCTCACAATAATGCTTTTTTTCTTCCCTTTTTTGCAGATACAGGGTTTTTTTGCCACTTGTACGAGCAAAAAAATCACGGTTCGCGTGAAACTCGGCTGGAAACTTTTTTTTTCTTTCTCTTTTGAAATACCGGGCGATCAACTCATTCAGGATCACAAGCTTTTTGGTACAAATCAGGGTGTTAAAATGGAAAAAATTGAAAAAAGGCGGGCATTGCTCAAATTTTACCGATTATTCCACAAAAATTGCCAATAATTCCCGTTTTAAAAATCACACCGATAATTCCCGAAATTATGCCGGCATATTCCGCGGAGGCCTAGACATGTAGACTGCTACGCGGTGCATGTAGCTGTACGCAGGTCACCTGGCTTGTCTGTGTGAAGTGGATCATGTCGATGCTGTGTTTGGGCAACAAAAGCGGTATCAACCAGTTCTGCATGATCTGCTGTCCAGATTTGCCACACTTTGCAGCTGGTGAAAGAATTTTTGTCCAGTTTGTCAGTGGCTGGTTGATGCTGTGACATTTTTGATGGATGGTGTGCCCATGGTCGATTCGATTCTGGCAGAGGTGATGTTTGTGGAATGATTTGGCAATAGCGACACGCCGTGGCGTTGCCTTGTTCTTGAAAATGGTGAGATTTGAACGTGCTCCGCAAATCACAAACATGCAATCATATCCCTCTTCCCTGCCATGCCAAATAAAAAACCTCTGCTGCGTCAATAACTTCCCACTAAAGCGTGGCACCTATATGCCTTTTCCATTCAGGCTGAGACGTTACCGGCTCTTGAGGCTCTCTTGACGGAGTTGTTTGGACCAGCTGCGAACAACAGTGATCGTGTGCAAGAAATTTGTAAGTCATTGTATTCACCGTCTGCTATTTGTGTGAACTCAATCATGAGCAAAATTTTGTTTCTTCAATGTCCTCAATGTTTCTGGTCCGCTGTAAATGTGATTTTCTATTTCAGCGAAGCTGTTGAATAATTTCTCGCAGCAAGATGGGTCATGGCGCTACTGTTTGTATTTCATGGAGAACAGTCGCAATGAGTATGTCCTGATGTACTCAACCAAGGTCCTGGAGGTCAGTGCCAGTGATGCTATGCAGTTACGTAATAACAATTACGATATCTAGTGGCCTCTCAAGTATAATGCTGTTAGCGCTTATGGGGTTCATGTCAGACTTCATGACTTTTTCTAGGAAGTCGAGCTTTGCCTCCCAGGGACTACATTAAAAATAATTTCCAAAGCCAGTTTAGGTACAAATCGTTCAAAATCATTTCCTGATAAAAATTGCTATGAATAAAACAAGTGGTGGTGACACATTACCATGATGGAGATAGTCAAATGGAAATATGTACACTTCAATTCAGAAATATTGTTCTTTTTGGTGGTGTTCAGTGAACCTACATTGAATGGTGCGTAAAAGGAACGAAACAAGACTACATATTTTCAGGATCAGTCGGGGATGTGAACTGCCCGGAAAGAAAGAAAAAAGACCCACCAGGACTCGAGCCCGGGACCTTGCTTGTCGTGAGCAACGCCCCAACCATCGGACGTATTTTCATTTCACTATTATTTTCATCATGGTAGTATGTCAACATCCCTTGTTTGTAAATTGGTAAAAAACTGTCGAAAGTCAGGTAGTGTGCAGTGATTCACGTACGTGTACTTAGTACCCAGCTGTATAACATGGATGATCTGGAATCTGCCAAGCTGACGAATGGGGAGTGTCTCGCCCTTGCGTGTGACAAACAGCTGTGGCTGCGAATTATTGACAGTTGCATGAGCCTCCCGTAACCAGGTCCTGAGAGCTATATTATGCGAGCTGCATATATTGTCATTATTATCGACATGAATCTCCCATGTATTCCACTGCCCTTTATCTTTCTGTATCCTGTTGTAAAAGAATTCCCATTTCATCTTCCTCAACCTAAGAGCAGTACGTGGCACGTGGCCTCTAATTTCCTAAAAACTTTGAAATTCTCCGTGAAGTCCAAATTTCAACTTCCTCAACCTTCTGAAAAAAAAGAAAACTAGTTTAACTTAGCACCTATTGGCATGACACCGGTGGACCATCAATATTCAGGATACGATTCGCGCAACTAAGGGCGCGTACAAATTGTCCTCATCACCTTTTTTTTCTTCGAAATATCTTAGAAGAGAATAGTTGAAGTATCCAGGTTGCTGTCAGCCTCACCGTATCCTTTGGCATTGTCGTAGCAATGAGATTTCCCAAGCGTGCTTCCCACGTGATAATGGGCTTCACTTATCGTAAGTGCAAGTTTTGTCGTATGCACTATGGGAAATGCATACAAAAGGCAGTTTAACTGCGGGAATATTCCAAGCTCTTCTAAACTAATCCACCTCTCCCATTGGATGAGATTGTGGAGTTTCGAGGAGTTTTGAGCAGACTTTCGTTTTCTGAAGAGACCACTTTGGATGCACTATCTCTGGTGCAACGTCCCTAGTGCCCACTATACGCTGCATATGAAATGCATGGTGTCAAATAATAACAAATATGTAGTGAGTGGTTCCACCATCTGGCCAAATAAGGGCGTGCACATGGTACTACGACAAATACGGTGGCAGTGATGGAGCAGCACAGCACCCCCACATTCTCATTGGCCTCACCATCGCAGTGACTTGTCTACGTAGATATGAATGTGCAGCAGAGAGCACTTATGTGTGTGAGAGAGAGGGGGGGGGGGGGGGGGGGGGGTGCGTGCATGCCTGCGCAAGCACAACTTGTGTGTGTGCGTGCGTGTTATCTGGCGCTTGTCTCGATCTGTTTCAATCAGAATCAGATCCGCTATCGTTGCTATAAAGAGAAAATCTGTGGGTGCACATCCAGTGCATTTGCAGATTTGCGTGCTTCTCTTGCGACGGGCGTATACATGGTACATGGTGTGTGTGTGTGTGTGTGTGTGTGTGTGTGTGTGTGTGTATGTGTGTGTATGTGTGTGCGTGTGTGTGTGTGCGTGTGTGTGTGTGTGTGTTTGCCATGCAGGATCTAGTTAACCACACCTGGGCTAGTGTTGACGTTGCACAGAAGTCCGAGCTGCGTCAGTTTATCATTGAGTATGCTGTGCGCAGTCACTCTCAGATTGTGCCCTACGTCCGTAACAAGCTGGCCAAGGTCATTGTGGACATAGCACGTCAAGACTGGCCCCATGACTATCCACACTTCCTGGACACTGTCATACAGGTTGGTTGGTGCCACACTTCTGCCTACGCCTGTGCCTACTCTGTGTGTGTGTGTGTGTGTGTGTGTGTGTGTGTGCGTGTGCGTGTGTGTGCATGTATGCGTTCTTCATGTCTTTTTTCAAGGGTGGTACAGGTGTCATGCTTCTTGGATCAACTCATGCCTTGTGATATGGAGAAGAAATTGATTGTGCTACGGTACTGGGCAGAAAACCCCAACCTCATGAATATAATAATGCCTGGTAGCACTACACTGCACACACACTGTTCTGTGAATTCAAAATTTGCGCTGCTTTATTTACGAGGTCAAATTTCTCTGGCCAGAACTGTCCTTTCCTCATTCATAATTATTTTGCTCCATTTTTGTTTTGTTTGCGGCTGTTGTTGCTGCTGTTGTTGCTCATGGTGGTTCCTGTGCTGTTCCTGTTTTTGTTGCTGCGTCGTCGCCATCGTTGCTGACTCTGTAGCTGCTTCAACGCGAGGACACAGCGTCGTTTGGCCTACTGGTGTTGCTGACGCTGTCGCAAGAGCTGCACGGCACACGCGAGGATCTGAGCATGGCGCGGCGTGACGAGCTCAATACGCTGCTACTGCATCACGTACCGACGGTGGTGGGTATACTCACCTCCATGCTAGAGCGTACAGTTGAGCAGCAGGAGATCACGCTGCTGACACCACCCAACACACCCGGTGGTCCGCTGATGTCACCGCCAGGCAGTAGATCATGCTCGCCAATCCCCTTCAGTGTAAGTCAACGGGGGGGAGGGGGGGGGGGATTCTCGGGCAGGGGCGTAGCTGGTCCCCCTTTTAGGGGGGGGGGGGTGCACGGCCACATAATATATTATATACATATGTAGGATGGCAGATGCATGTCATGCATGGTCATTATGTGCATCACTGGGTATTCACTGGGTATAATGCATAAGAAAAACTCTTGTTACTGTAAAACGACAAACTTTCGCGAGCGATTAACTTTCGCGACTTTCGCGAGCAAGGTCGAATCGCGAAAGTTTGACACGCGAATATGAAATTTGTACTACACGATCGATGCGTCGATGATCGATCGTTTTGCAACAGATCTGTACAGTACGAGAACGTGCGCGCGCATGTATCACTCACTGCACTGACTGTACATTCACAGCGCTGATCGATGCTTGCACGGCTGGCTATGTCCAACCAAAGAGCGCAGCTGTTACAACGACGGGTTACGTACCAACACCAGTCTTGCAAGTACATGTAACAAACATTACTTGTCGTTGGAGTACGGCGACTTGAACCAGAAGAGAATAAAACGATCGACTGGAGAATGTCTCAGTGTTGTGGACAGTGTTGTTGAATTTCTTGGAGCGTTTGGCCAGCTTGCTGTTGCGTAGATTTTAGTGTTGTACCGCTCGAAGAAGTCTTCTGAATTTTATCGCGATGAGTATCGCAGTGGCTCAGCAGTTCGAAGAGAAAGTCTTCCGATGATCCCTCTTCGAACGTGCCATTCTTTCTCTCAGTACTAGTACTTACCTTATGGTTCTCTTTGATGCCTTGATTCCTTCTTACATTCCTTGATTCCTTCTTTCATTCTTTGATTTCTTCTCTCATTCTTCATGCACTCTACGCCCAGCACTCCGAGGCTTCGTAAAATAAAATTCTTTGATTTTCGGTGGAAGGTAGAAATCGCTAAAATTAATCGCCGCTAACTGGTCCAGTTTGCCAAAACGCTAAATTTAGCCGCCGCGAAAGTTTGTCGTTTTACAGTATTGCGAAGAAATGCCATCGGTCCCTTGGTGTTCGTCCTAAAGAGGTTTGACTGTTCCGATGGTATTTGATACGGATTTGTTTCTTTTCGACGCATTGTGGTCGGTTATGTCAAGAGTACAAGAAGCTATACGTGGGCAGCTTCTGACCTTTTCTTCTGCATGGGTGTCTGTCAAGGCGAACTACCTGGATTACAGCATAGTTGGCGCGGATACGTGGCAGGAATTGGTGTAGGGCGTGCACAACTGAGCTGCAGTTGTGCAACAGGAGAGTCTGAGGAGACCTGCTGGAATCCTGCTTGTACGCGCTAACGTTACATCACGAAAATGATGTAATCCAGGAATTTTGCCGTGACAGCAACCCTTTAGAGCTGCACACGAATGGTTGCGGTCACTCTCAGTTACGATTCGTTTCTTCAGATACAAGAAGTTACCTAGATGACCAGCTCGCGAAGTACGCCAAAACTTACTATTCTGCTCCAAGACTATAGGAACTATAGTGCTGCTTAATGAAATCCAGTCGCTTTACTCAAGTACGCGCCGGGCGCTGCGCAGCCCTAGACCTACGAACACTGGGCTGCGGAATGTTGCAAGGCGCAAGCTTGAGTGACGCGACTGGGTTTCTTTGAACAGCACTGTAGTATCAGTGGCGATTGACAGTGGTGGTGTTGATCACACTATGGTTCTGGCGTTCACCAATTCATAGATCCATGGAGGGTGGTGGCGTTCCTACGGATGCGCAAAACTTGGCCTCTGACCGAGTCTCACGCGAACCGTATTTTTTTCCCACCAATTATGTGCTGGGCTGACGTCATGATGGTGTATGTTTGGATGTGTGTTTGTACAGGTCGGCACGCCATCATCGTTCCTGAAGAGTGGTCCTGCATTTGGTAAACTGCCCGATGCCAGCTTGTCAGGCTCGCTGTCTCCACTTGACGGTAACACACTGCAGGTAATAAGAGAAGATTTCATCTGGTTGGGTGGTGGAGTGAACTGACAGGAGAGAGCTGATTTCATTCACCACTTGTTACTTGATGACAGGATCTGTTGTGTTGTGCATGACATGTTGGGCTCAGGTCTGTGGCTGTTTTTGCTTATTGTGGTGGAGTGTGCATTTTGGGATAAACCTTATTCACGGTGTACAGATGTATGAAATACCCGAGAATCTTGTAGGATCTCTTAGAATCCTGTAGTCCCGGTTGGGTGTTGCATATTCAGGACCAAAATACTGTGTTTCTACGAGCTGCTCAAAGTCATCGGGTCGCAGAGTGCGGGAACTCTGAGCACGGATGATGAGGTGGTGCACCACGTGCTCGGGACGGCCAAAACGCTCTTGTAGAGTGACAAGAATCTCAGGAACATTGTCTAGGACAGCCAGCAGAAACTGCACTGCGTCTCTGGCCTTGCCCTTCAGCGCACGGTGCAGGCGGCTCAAGTTCTCCGCGTGCGAAAGCCCACAGCAAAACTGAAACCAAAAAGAAACTTAACACAAAAGCCACCAGGTCCGCTCGGCGCCTCGCGCACCAAGATCATCGATGAAATGGAGGCATCGCATTTCGCCCTCAAGGAAACAGCAACTATTGCAGCGCAGCGGTGAAAACTGCAAGAAAGCGAAAGTCATAGATCACGGACACAACAGAAAAGTCTGTACTAAAGAAAGCGCATCGCTAGCCGCACAGCATTGTACACACACAGCGCACAGTTCACTGTGCATTTGGCAAAAAAACACATGTTCGCGTCATGTTCAAGGAAATTCAAACGAAGGGAAAAAGAGAGCAGAGAAGTTTCGAGAAGTATAAGAACGAAGGAATGGATAAGAGAAACGTTCTTGAGATGAAGAGTAGAGAGAAGAGCAGAGACAGACTGGAAAGAAGTTCTACAGAAGACGTGGGAGAGAAGAAAGGTGAGAGAATGGACAGAACGAAAATACCAAAGAAAAAGTCCACAAAAAACTCAAAACAATGTTGATCTTGTCCACAAGTTCAACCATCAGGCAGGAACAGGCCCTGAAAGCATTTCATGCAACAACTTTTTTAGTAGAAGATTTAGCTGGTCATTAGCTCTATCCAAAGTGAAAGCTGGAAAAGCGATTGTCTTTCATCGAATATTGGACTATATTGGTCTCATGTATAGTACACAATGAACACCCAGCCCGGGCATGTACTGGATTTTGTACATCAGTACAACGTGCATAAGGACCCTTGCTTTTGTGGTCTGTATGGTGTGTGTGTGTGTGTGTGTACATTTTTCTGCGTGTTTACATGGTGTGTCTGTGTGTACACATGGTATGTGTGTGTAACGTTGCATGGTGTGTCTGTGTGTTCACGTGCATCTCTTTACTCTGCCGTAGCTCGCCGAGCTT